ATTGTCATTTAAGCTAGGAAAGGAAACGAGGCCTTGAATAAAGGAAGACATCTGTATTTCAGAACGCACTCCCATACACATTTGAATGCAGTAGCTTGCCCCATCTGGGGTTTCTGTGCATACCTAAAATGCTTCTGGATAATGTAGTGGATGCATATATTAAACTGTTTTCTGGAACTAATCTGGAATTAAGTATTAAATAATACTGGGGTATTAAAGAAAAGTAATATGTAAACAGCGATATGAACACAGATCTGATTTTGATGCCTCTTGTGACTTACCTTTTTCCTTTTTTGTATTTGTTGGTCCCAATCAAGGAAGTGCCTAACTTTTAAAGCACTGTGTAGATGATAAATTCTTCGAACCTGAGACTTCGCAATTCTCAAAATAAGCACCATGTTACCCTTACCTTTTTATTTGTAGGGTTTGAATATTTTTAACATCTTTGGGTTTTTGCCAGGGTACAGAACCAGATGATAAAACAGAGTCCACGGGAACATTAAAACGATTGCAGAAATTGGTCCGAACCAAAAAAACAAGTCCACAAAGCTTGGAGGATGTCAAACATGTTTTGCTCCCCCTCAGTAAGTAAAGCATCATATCAGCATTCTTTCCAACATTTGGCAAATGACACTGTATTGAACATAACTGTAAACAATCCTGTCCTGGTCTGTCATTCACCACCCACGATTTTCAAACCCCAACTGAGATGTTACTGTGATACCACTTTAGCGCCGACTTCCTCATAGTGTGAAAACCTGTTTCCTGTCACACTAGCTTGAGTTTTGTAACATTATATCTTGCAAGTGGGGATTTTAGCTAAATAGAGTTGTATAACAGTGGGGCCTCCATGCTGGGGACAACTTGTTTTTAGAGTAGTTCCTAATTTTGTATCACGTTTCAGAGCAGAAAGGCAAAACTCACAAATGCAGAGATAACTTTCAGTGTTAATCCATGAGTCAGTGGCAGCTGGGAGTGCAGGAAGGTCTGCGGTACGATGAGCAAGTTGGCCTCTCATCATACCCGATTGCCTAGGGCCATAAGACATGGGAATTCTAAATTGGTGCTGAGCTCAGGTTATTTTCTCAAGTCTCCGATAGATCACTGATCTGACTGTGCAGCAGTTCTTCATCTGAACTTGTTTTGACAACATTAATTTAACAGTGCATGCATTTGTTGCACAATACATTTGTGTATATGATTATTTTTAAACCAATGCTAGCAAAATGAGTTTAAGCTATCTGATGAACTACTGCTCCAGCCAAATCATTGCTTGGGCTGAAACATATGAGGATATCTAGATCCAGCAACTACTTTGTAACTACAATGTACGTACCGGGAAGGGGTGGGAGAGGAATTATCCAGAAAAGCTTTTTGAACTTTTCCAGTATTTAAGCTAAACTCACGCTCTCAGCAACTATGCAACAATATGACATTTAATTAGCAAATTATCATGTTCAGTGCAGAACCAGTACAATTTTCTGGGCTTTTGAGGAAACAAGAGAAATTTACCAAATGGAGAATAAATCTTACTTTTGGCTCAGGTGTCTGACCCAGTACAAAATCCTTTCCATCTTCCTCATTATCATTATTATTTGTTTTTTATGGAGTCCTTGGCTTTTTCATTATATAGAATGCAACAGACAGCACTTAAGAAAAAAAGTGTGCTATTTTCTCTATGAATTGCAACATATTGTAACAGAAGTATTTGCATTTTGAAGATACATTGGAAGATGCTTATCTCTCTGAAGAGGATGAAGAAGCACTAACGTCTTGCATGAAACTGACAAAACCTCAGGAAAAGAAGACCTGGAAAGACAACGTGAGGAGAAAAGAAGAGACTGAGACTAGGGCAGATTTTGTTTCTGCATCTCTGGGCCGCTCATACACTTCCAGACTTAATAACATAGGAACTATTTCAATCCATTCAGAAACCGAATTTCACCTGTGGAGTGACTGGAAGCCATTTCCTGATAACCAGCTCTGTCCTTGTGACTTCTTGATTTCAAAAATAGAAGAATGGGAAAACTGTACTTGCTCTTCTCATCAGCCACATCTTACATATTCCCTAACTGACATGGATCTACAGTACTCCTGGGTAAGTGGAAGTGGTTTCTTTTGTGCTGATATGCATAAACAGTGGAAAATTTTTGCTCTGATTCAGCATTAAAGAGGTGCTGTCATCTTCCATGTGGTTATGAAATGCAATAAACCAAATTTAGATTTCAGGTAAATGGATGCAAATACACTGTTCAGGCTAACACCAGGGGTTCATATAGCCCTAGGTAGTTCATTTTTAACCATGCAGACATCAGCAGCATTGAGGTGGAAGGCTTTAGGCTATTCTGTTTCTCATCAGACGCACTGGGTTTTTTTCATCTGTACATTAAATACTCATCCTTCCAGGCTTGGAAAACTTTCTGGAAGTCTGGGGTAAGTCAGTAAGGGCCAACAAAGCCAGTGGGCTTGGATCAGGCCCCTAGAGGTCACTGCAATACTAGTAAAGGACACGAGTTATTTAGACAAATACCAGAGGCTGAAGAGGCATTGATGTTTCTGCCTTCTTGGATCAGCTGAGCTGGTGGAGCCTATTTTTGCAATTACCTTTGTGGCAGCAAGAAGTTCTTAGGGACAGATACAAAGGAGAATTTAATCTTGGTCTGAAATTATCTTTCTGGATAGCTATCTGGAGGAGGCTTTTCTATTTGAATTGCTGGCCTTTTTTAAAGGGCTATTTAAAACTAGGAAAAACAAAACCAAGAAAAACCTTAGTTGGCAAGATATGCAAAACATGGGCACAGCAATGAGGCTTTTCTCCCTCTCCTCATTGGGCACAGCAGGTCTTCTGGCACACCACATAGTGGTAAGCACATGGAGGGTGACTGGTTGACTGAAATATAGCAGGGAAGAAGTTCTTTTCCCTTTAGTGCAGGAACAGAGCTGGTTCTTACTGTGCAGTAAGGCCAGCCCCCAGGAACGGGCATCCAAACCACAGGAGGCAAGATACCCGCTGAAACCTGCCAGCTGAGTGTTCAAGTGGAGACCTGAGCAGCCATAACCTTAGATCAGAAAGTCTCATGCTGAACACAGCATTTTCTCTAACGGGTGCTCATATATCATTAGGAAAGGTACACACGCATAGCTGTGTGGGTCAATATGGCAACCATATTTCTGAATACATGGAGGTAGTTGTTCAGTTTCTTTTCAATGACGCAGTAGCTGACATAACAACTGGCAGTACCTGAAACATGGAATTTATTTAGCTGAATGTAGCCCAGAAGATTTTCTTACGACTGACATAGAAAACAGAAAGGCTAAAGCTCTGACTGATAGAACTGTAATTAGAAGTGAGAGAAAGCAAGCTACCCCTACAAAAAGCTGAGAAAGGTGCAGCAGTGAAACCCTGGACAGCCTCGGCATTGCAAACTCCCAAGGAGACCCCCTGGAGACAAACCTTTGGGGCAGAGCGTTGGCAGAAATATGCTGGGAGCTGTGAACAAAGACGATGCTCTGTCAGGTGAGTTGTCCTGTCTGCCAGTAAACAGGACTCTCTGTAGAAACCAAATTGTGTCAGGGATGCTGGGCTCCATCATATGCCTGCTCCTAATGAAAGCAACTTTCAGCATCCCAAGCTAAGTCTGAAGTCCCAGGGCAAAATAGTAATAATAGATGTGTCGGTCAGATTTATGAGAGCATCTAAGTGTCAATTCAAATAATTTTATTTCATTTTGTCACAAACAGGCTGCTAACATTCTCTACCCTGATGAGATTTGTCCTACCCATGTTACTATTAAGTGCCAGCAAGAAGTTTAGTGCTTTTTTTTTTTCTGCATTATTGTTTATTTTGCCATCTGCTTTCCTGATGGGCTCCCTGACTTTAATGTATCTCTGTGGGCTTAGTGTGTTTAGATTTAAATTACAAGCAATGGCAAGACATCTCATTGTTTGCATTTGCATTCTACCAACTGGCTCAATTGAAGATTACAAAGACTGGATTTTCAGTTTTGCTTTTTAAGAATCAAGCAAGCCAACAGTGGCAGTTTTGCTATGAGGGGATCAGACATTGGGGATGATGCAGGTGTTTTTTCTGATGTTGATTTACTTACTAGAGTAAAACCAATATATTCTATAATACTCTTTCTCATTCTATGAATAAAGTATCATTTCATTTTCTTGGCTGATCTTGACTTGGCTACTACTCTGTTGCCTTTGCTGCAGCAGGATGTGGAGGAGATAGCCTGAGATATGCTACTGAAATGCTAGTTGGTATGCCCTGGGCTGAAATAAACAGGTACAACTGGTAGATGCAAGACTAAGATCCAAGACTCTGCTATTCCATCAGCAAACTGTGGCTAATCTGGTTTGGGGAACAGACAAATATGTAGGTTGGACACATATTATCCAGACTCATCTCAGCAACATACGCAAAGCTGATTGAGCCTAGCCTTAATTAAAGCTTGTATTGCAGATAGTAAATTAAGTAGTGCTCTCCCGTAATCACAAGGAAGCAGACCTAGACCTGTATCTCTTCATGATAGATTGCTGTTTAGAGAGACAAACTATGAGTGATCCTAATTCCCTTCCTCCAATTTCTTCCCCTGACTCCTTTCTTCCTCTTTCTTTCTTCATCATCAGCACTTTACACCCTTATGATGCTTCATATTGCCATTGTTTCACCTAAAACAATAAAAAGGCTGACAGAGATCATCCAGGCTGGTCACCTAAACAAGAACCGTGAGAACAGACTGAAGAAGCAACACCCAACTTCAGCTACAACAGGCTCACCAAACTCCTCCAGCTACTCTTCCTTCAGCCTCCCCCAGTTCAGCTCAGAACAAACACCTGTGTTAGCCGACTGCCTCTGGCACAGGGACACTGGAGACAAGTCAGATCTCACCCATTCCACCCACCTTCATGTATTATGAAAACATTTTAGAAGTCTGTATTTCTGTCCTTTAATTAAATACAGAACTGAGTGTGCTGCGCTACCATTTTATAGCCACCGTGCCACCGTTAGCAATTTTGTGCAAAGTTAACTTAGACGTAGGTAATTTTTTTTTCTGCATTGTTCAGCTGTTTACAATATAATTAGTGGTTGGTGAAAATTTTGCTAGGGGCAACACAGAACATTGCTTTTTTTGGTGTGTCAAGATTGCCATGTGAAATTATTGTTACTGATATTCTTCCTACGGAGGTGTAATTTGTAAATAGTTCTTCCTTACAAAGTTGAAGAATATGTTTAAAAAAATACTGAATACTTCAGCAAAAAAAGAAGAAAATATGCCCAGGTAAAGGAACTACTATGCTGCATATTTTCATATTACCACAAAGTATACTGGGGAGAGAAATGAGTGATCCCAGCTGGTGTTTGTAATGCTATGAATCAGCTGAAAATCAGGCAGAGGATGGGTGAAAAGACTGTCCAGACACCACTTTAACAAGCACTTGACCTTAATGTGAAAGGTTATTTGTTTTCATACTTCTTTTTATTCCTCAAGTTTAGTCCTACAGAAAATAGTGCAGCTGTCTGCCTCAGACTTTTTTTCTCTCTTTTTTTTTTTTTTCAGTTGTGGTTATTAGAAGCTGCCCTTC